GGATTAGCAACTTTAACGACTACTTACAAAAAGGGTGCTAACTTTTCATTAATTAATTCATTAATATTTTATTACAAAGTAATTTTATCAAGAACAAAAAAAAACTTATTCTTACAATCTGAAGAATAAGGTGAAAGACTTCATGGCTTGTTTTAGTGTGAATTTTTGCATTAAAAAGTGCTTACCAGTCAAAATACAGCAATTTGTTCAGTAAAATATAGTTTTATTTCTATGTGTGTTTTTTAAAATGCCTTCAGATAGAAAATGTTTAATAAGGCATGTGTAAAGTAATTATCTGGGTAAATGCTACAGAGCTAATAAACATTTAGGTCCACAACCCCAATTTCCTAAATATACAGGCTATTATGCATTTATTATGTTTGCTTTTTTTTCATTCTAGCACTGCAAACAATTTTATATTCTCTGAAAACAGCTTATAATGTTGTTGGTGTCATTCTAGGAAAAGGCTAGCTTTATTGACTTTTTATAGCAGAACATACACAATGATCCTGTCTGCCAGTTCTGGCTCAATGGATCACCCCACCTAAGATGCCACACCACGCCTATTTATCCTTTCCATTACTTAATTTCAGCTACTGCAGTGCTATAAAAACCTAATTCAGACTGTCACGAGAAATAAAACTCACCTAGTCTCTTAACATTTATAACAATTAGCGTGGAGCAGTTTGTGCCGGCTGATTGTTATAGATGCTGTCATTACCTGTATGTCAGTCCTGCAGCTGCTTTTAGTCTCCAAACTTTGCGCAGTTTTCAGTGCTTTATAGCTCATTTCTAATGAATGAAATTGTCTTTTTGTCCCATTAATTTAAAATCTCCTCTAAGTGATAAAATGTTGTTGTTTTTTTTAATTTGGAGAAAAAGAATCTGAAATCTATGTGCAAATCTATGTGCAAAAATATTCAGAGCCTTCGCACACCTGGATTTCTGAACTTAATTCCAATATTTCTGGTGGATCTGGCTTTGTTTTCAGTAAATTGGAGTCTCTAAAATGCATTTTAAATGCATAATTAAATTCATATTTAAGTTCTTTAAGGACCCTATTACAAAATGCTACCAGCACTATGCTTTACTATGTCTGGGGACACAGGCCAGGTGGTTTTTATCAGTTTTGTCCTGTAAAAATAAATGATTGAGTGTACTTTGATAAGGAAAAGCCAATTTTACCAGTTTAAGACTATAAAACAAAAGAAAGTGCACATAAATAAGATGTCTGAACACTTTTTCAAGCAATTCCACACATTTGTCTAGGTAACCAGTATCTGACGCTCATAATCTTTTATTTCTAGTTTCACTGCATTCCTTCCTCTTTTTAGTGGATAACTTTGCCCTTCCCACTCCCAACCTCTGCAAATTTACTAAAAAGAAATGCATCAAAATGCAAGTGATAAAGTTTTAATTTGTCAGCCTTTCAGCACCTTCTCTTTTAAAAGGTCCAAGATGACCTGCCTCTCTTGGCTCTCAAGCTCAAATCTCCGCTCCCTCTCTTTTCTCTCAGCTCCCAGACGTTCTCTCTCCAGAGCGATCTTACCTGAAAACGTGAAGTGAAAATGGATATCAGCACAATGGCAGCTTGACAATCTTCATAAAATTCTTTTCAGATAAGTTTTAGAGGGTATTGTTTTCAGTTGAGTAGTATTCTTTTTATTAGTATAGACACTAGTATTTTTTATTTTTTTTTGGCAGGGATAGCTCAGTAGGTAGAGTGGTCGCCCCCGTGATTGGAAGGTTGGGGGTTTGAATCCACTGAACGGCTACCCTGAGGTACCCCTGAGCAAGGTACCGTCCCTACACACTGCTCCCCGGTGCGCCTGCTTAGTGGCTGCCTGCTGCTTCACTGAGTGAATGGTTCAAATGCAGAGGAGTAATTTCCCCACGGGGATCAATAAAGTATACATTATTATCATTATTCATGCACACTTGCATTTTAAACATAACATAAAAACGTAAGCATGATGCTTCAGTTCTGCTAAAGTTCAGAATGAGCATCAAGTTGATTTAAGTAGCTTTGAATCTGGCATGGCAGACAGGATGGTCTCTATATTTCAAGAAATCCCCTGGGATTTTGCGACACAACCATCTCTAGGGTTTACGGAGAATGGCCAAAAAAGACAAAATATCCAGTGAAAGCAGTTTTTGGTGGAAGAAAATATGTCCCTGATGTCATTAACTCAATAGTAATTCAAGTAACATGTCAAGTAATTCAAATAACCACTCATTACAACCAAGGTATGCAGAAGAGCATCTCTGAATGCACAACACATCAAACCTTAAAGCAGATGGGCTACAGAAGCAGAAGACCACACTGGGTACCACTCCTTTGGCTACAGAATCTGAGACTACAGTTTTGGTCACAAAACTCACCAAACTCAACAAAACTATAAAGAAGATGGGGAAAAATGTTGATTTCTGTGATGGTAGAACCAGAATTTGGCATAAAAAACATGAAAGCATGGATCCATCCTGTTTTGTATCAGTGGTTCAGGATGGTATTGTTAATAGTGTGGGGGCATGTTGTCTTGGCACATGTTGCTCCCCTTAGTAGCATCTAGTATCATTTATATATCACAGGCTACTTGTGTATTATTAGTGACAATGCCCAGTGAACAGAAGATTTGCGTCATATAGGGTCAGCCGACAAATCTGCAGCAACTGTGTGATGATTTCATCTCAACAGACATATCTATCTATGAGGAGTGTTTCCTTGTTTAATGTAATCCACACATAATTAAAGCTGTTCCGAAGGCACAAGGGCATTCAACCCAGTACTAGCAAAGTGTACCTAATTAAGTGCCCACTGAGTATTCTCATGCCTGGGCTACTGGAAATAAGAAATGAGTGGGAACAGTTAAGCACAGGTGAAACTAATGAGGGTGAGGCTGGCAAAAATTTAATAAATAAATAAATAACACTGAACTATAAAGTCTTACTAGACATGAAGACATAGACAGGGGAATAGAGAAAACAGCAACTAAGATAACTAAAAGTATGAAGGTGATAACAAAACCAGCAGATATTATAAGGACTATGGCAAAAATCATACTTCTCTGAATCTCCAGTTCCTCTCGGCGCAAGGCGAGCTCTTCTTCTCGAAGCCGCTGCTCCGCCTCTGAGCGTTTCTCCAAGAAGCTGAGAATCTCAGAGTAGGTCTGGCAGCAGCACTGGCAGGGCCGCTTGGCTGTGGGTGCTGCTGACAGCTCTGTCATTTCCTCACGCTCTTCTTCTTGTTCTGTAATTAAGTGAAAATTCAGGCTACTGTTCCTAAAGCTACCATAGCAGAAATAGAAAAAGTTGATTCTTTTTTTTTTTTAAAGGGTCTTTACCTTGAATCACAATTTTAACTGAAAAATCCTGGTGATTTAATGAACGATAACCACGATACTCTGTAAACTGTCTTTCCCAGCTGTTATGACACTAAGATTTAGACATTAAACAGCATCTGTGACACCAGTGTGGATGTCACATCCTTTGTCCCTGTGTTTTGAATCTGTTCACCTGTAGTGGTTGTTTGCGGGATTGTGATGTTGGGTTTGTCCTGTTCTGGTAGAGTTAGTTCTTCTGCGACTCGATTTCTCCGCTCTTCATCCTAAGAAATATAAGGGAGAGATCATTTCAACAACAAGAATACATGCATTTTACTCAATGTCTTTGCTTACTTTATGATTGTGAGTATGATCCTTTGGGTAAAAATGCTGCAACAAATGACTTGAGCTTGATTGTGCTACATGTAGTGATTTTTAGCTGCTTTCTTATTTCCTAGATGTTTGATTTGAGAGATTTGTATGCCAGATGCCCTTCCTTGGTGACTTGTAATTCTGGGTATAAGCTAAACTATGAGCAGCAAAATAGGCAGAGTGTTGCAGAGAATGTTAAAGTGTTTTCATTCTTAATGTTCCCATTAATCTGGTCAGCCATATTTCCAAAAGATAAGTCTGTAACTGTATAGAAAAAAAGTGAAATACTGTAACTTAAGTGATTTATCTACCCCTCTAAAGCAACCCTCTGAGGTCTATGTTGTAATTTTTTTAAAGAAAATCATATTCTCTTCCACAGAAGAAAGCACCTTTCTCAAAAATACAGGGTTGCAGTAGTGTTGGGATTACGGTTATCACTTATGATGACTTAGACCTTATTAAAAAAGGCATTTTTTACACTAGCATTGTAGTACACATACACATGCTCTTCTCTCTCTGCTGACACAATAATAATGCTACTCACCTGGTACTTTGTGCCATCATTGCTGACTATGAGTCCCTTCTCAGCTTCCAGCTCCAAAACTTCATGGAGCAGATCCTCCTTCTGGGCATACAATCTCTCTGTTCCAAACCTGAGTAAAGGAAAAGCACACACGTGTGCTCAAACTACAACTTGCTAGTAAAGCCAGTAGTGTACATCATGCATACAGTGCAAAGATTTCTTTACTCCTGGCTTTGGAATTGTGTCGACTGAACCAACCTGCGTAGGCTGGGAAAGTCTTGTTTCTTGTAGTAGTCTAGCAGCAGCATGGTTCTCTCCCTACATCTCCTGGCATCCACCTCAAAGTTTTCCTCTTGGAGGGCAGCAGTGATAATCTCACCCACGCGTGCCCAAATCCGTCCTGAAATCAATCAGTTCACACATTCCTTAATGTATACAGGAGGTTTGTAATACTGACACATTTAACAACTTGAAGAAAATAAATTAATACAACTTTTTTTCCCACCACACACATTTATCATGCAGGAAATGCAGCTGTCAGCATTCAAGCACAAGTCATTAAAAAAAAAAAGACAAACCTGGCTCTTTGGAGGCAAAGGGATTCTGTGCAATAACCTCTCGCAGAAGGATGATGTCATGGCGTGCTGAAAACCGCACCTGCCGCTTTCGTGGGGTTGTGGAAGGGCAAGCGAGGGGAAAACCTTAAGATGGAAATAGAACAGAATAACTTTTCCAAAATAGTAGAAAAGAACATGCTGAAATACAGCAAGGTGGTGATCGGATATTCTTCATACACAGTGGGCTTAGTTAGAGTCCTCTTGACCTCTGACCTACTTGAAAATCAAACATGAATTTGACTCTGTGGCATTATAATTCTCTTAATTTGCACGACATCTATAAAATCTAGAGTAATCTTGAAAATCAAAGGAAAAAAACTGCACTTCCTGACGTAGACTTCCTGCGAAACATTAAACTGCATGTGTTTTGATTAAAATAGAATTAAAATCTATTTGTTTATTTGTTTGGATTATTTTCCTCAATTCACCGTTACCTGTTTAATTGTGCAATTGCATGTTACTGCTTGTTAATGGAAAAGACATAACAAACCACGATGGAGAATAAACTGGGCCTTTGTATTGGTGAAGAGAGGTTAAATGGCAAAGGCAGTGTGCCAGTTGCAGAACTGCGATTTGACAGATGACAGCAACTCTGTGACTACATTGTCTCACACTGTGTACAAGCTGACAGTAGCCTGCAGCTACGACAGATTAATCAGAGAAGCGAGACAACCTGTAAAGCACTGATAGCGCCACTGTGGCTACAGCAAATTTAATGCCGAACCAAACGCGTAAGAGGAGGAGGAGCATCTCTGCACTAATCGAGAGCAGCAGCAAATGCTGTTTAGGAGATGTTATTTAAGTGGCTGAAAGGCGCGTTAGACGTGGAGGTGGAATGAATCTCACCGTTGTTGATCGGCACTTCCACCACTACCCGTTCCATGTTTCTGTTTGGTGCATCCGGGAACCGCCTGACGTGCACGGTACACGTCCACTCACCAGTACCGGTTCCCTACTGACGTGTAACTCAACTTGGCAGAGAATCACAATGTGGTACCGCTCTTCTTCTTTAGTTGCGCTTACTCTGTTTGACCACAAGATGAAGCCAGAGGACAGCGGGTCGAATGCTGAAGTACGCGTACAGATGACTTCTGCTACTGATTTATCAGAACGTAGTAACAGCATATGGCTCCAGAGAGTGCCAAGCGCTCAAAATAGATGATATTTATCAGCCATGAGATATTGACAAGGGGTATTAATCATAGCCGGCCGAAGGTTGTATTGGGTGCCTCTACTATTAATAACAGACTAATTCTAATTCATGCAAAAATGCTTGTGGAACTGTCTCACAATTTTTTTTACATTATAAAAAAAATTATAATAAAAATAGTGCATCAATAATTCATGTCCGCTGAAGGCAAGGTCATAATAACTCAAAAGATGCTTGCAGTGCTATTAGTGACTGTCATTACAATGCATTGTCCATCAAACTGTTTGTACTGTATCAACAGTTACAAACTGTCAAATGAAGCTTATATAACATTTGTTACATATAGTGAATCAAATTTCAAGTCAATTTTATATATGGTCCAAAATCACAAATCAAATTTCAAGTTTGAGGTAACCTTGTTCCTTCTCTCTATACTGATTTGCTCCTGCGTCTCTATTTCTGCTTCTTTTATGTCCTTATGTTATCCTTAACATTTTAGAGTAACTCCTAGTTTCCAAAGTCATTATTTAAATGTGACCCGAAGGAGGTATCCATTTCAATAGGAATGTTTAATGCTGATGCAAAACAAAATCTTTCTATACATGTAACAATAGGACCCAAGACAATTAACAGATCTACTTTATTAAATACATGTAAAACTATAAAATTGTACGATCGTAGGTGGAAGACATGATAAACGCTGCAGGGAATCTATTAAAAACTAACACCATGTGTCACACGTTAAAGGCACGGCAATCTACACTTCACCCCAACTGGGCAACAATATATAAAAGAAAATCCTCAATGCCCATCACCGCGGTACATACAAATTGTGCATATAGCAATTTACAGTTGATCACACAGTAGTGCATTACATATAGGAATAAACAGCTATATGCAATATACTCCACACACATTAGCAATGCTCTAACAAACTATAAATACATGACATTTTGTACAGTAATGTATTGTTAATTATAAAAAACAGTATGCAAATACTGATGCCTTAGAGAGAAAAATAACCATCCATCTATCCAGCCAGCCACCCTCCAACAATTGGCTATGCCCAGGTATTCTATCCATAAAAACTATGAACAGAGTCAGTGACAGGGCAGCCCTGGCGGAGTCCAACACCCTCCAGAAATAAATCTAACTTACTGCCAGCAGTATGAACCAAGCTCTCACAAAGGTTAAACAGGGACTGATTGGCCCATAACAACTGGCCAGACACCCCCCACAGGATAACCAGAGGGACCAGGTTGAATGCCTTCTCCAAGTCGACAAAGCACATGTAGACTGGTTGGGCACCCTCAAATGTCCTCAAGAGCAGCGGTCCCCCAACCCCCGGGCCGGTACTGGTCCGTGAGTCGTTGAGTAAGAGTCGCAAGAGTTGAGGCTTGGGTGTGAAATTTATGGCTTTCAGGGTTTTTGTTTTTATCGTTAACTCGGTTTACCTGGGTCTTTTCCCGTGTGTTATGAATAAATCTTCCTTTTTTGGTACCAGTACTGTTTTTATTTCCCTATATTTATCCGCGACACCTTAAAGGCCGGTCCATGAAAATATTTTTGGACATAAACCAGGGACCGCTGCTCAAGAGGATAAAGAGCTGGTTGTTTCTGCTGGATCAGAGGTTGACTAACAGGTATGCTCTCCGCTCCAGTACCCTGGGATAGACTTTCCCAGGGATGCTGACGAGTGTGATCCGCCTGTAGTTGGAGCACACCCTGCAGTCCTCCTTCTTAAACAAGGAACCACCACTCCAGTCAGTTTTACAAACCAGTTGTTTTTAATATTTTTATGATGGACACAAAGACTCATGAAAAGCTCTGTATGGATCATTAATGAAAATGTTTTGTGGAGACTGCTCATGTATTGTGCATTTGTAATGTGGGTTCCAGTCTTTGTGTGACCAAGAAGAGGTGTAGACAGCAAGAGGCCACCATGACAGATTCTCGCAGCGATTAATCACATCAGGCCAGCGTTAACCTTCAATGTGGCTGTTAAAGTGTTGAATAAATTCATATACAAATAACCTTGCTGTAAAAGGACTAAAATATATATGAAAGCACAGGCAGTCATATTTTGCAAAGAAAGCTCTTTATGGAGATTACAGTAGGAACCCTAAAATAAAACTACTGTATAATAACAATGCTGTAAATGCTACATGCTGTAAAGCTTTAATTCTCTTTAAAATATTTTACAGTAAGAAACTACAGGGCTGTAAATAACACTATATACAAATATAAATATAGGCCATTTAACAAACATTGCAAATTCTTAGTATACCTAACATGCAAATAGAAAAAAAACATGAATGAAAAACTGAGGAGTAAATATAGGTAAAGAAACTGCACTGCTTCCGTTAAGCTTTGTGGCCATATTTAGCATACCCTTTCCAAAAACCACAGGTAGACCTAATGGTGCTCACACACTCACGCTCTGTCATTGCTACTTGTGCAAGCAAAACCACACTAGCATGACATTGCTGCTGACATAATGTCAGGCAAGTAAACAGGGACCCAGACCTGGCAACCCGCTGCATTGCAATCATTTGATTATTTGGTTGAGGGAGTGCTTTGCAACCACATTAGGAGGTGTGGGGGACGGAAACAGAGGGAGTGTGTAGGGAGGGCTTAGGGGAATGAGTCAGAGTTGCTTTTTATAAACGACAGGAAATCAGTTTCCCATATTAGTTACTTTTGGAGAGCGTTAATTAAACATGGCAGCCTTCCAATTAAAGGCGCTAACACTGCAAATGCTGTCATTACCTCTGACTTATCGGGCCATTCCCTGACTGAAAGGAGATAACAGGTAATATGAACTGGAAACAATACATTAGTAGCTGGAAACAATATGCAATCTAACAGACACTGACTAACAGAGAAAAATGAATAATGTTATCACCAACTGCACATAACCTGTGTTTATACAGTACAACCCATTGCCATGGTTATGCACATAAAAGAATATGAAACAGTCAGGCTGTAGCAGCCTGTGTGCCAGCAGCTGGCATCCTTGGTGCTCAGATGTCAGCGGACTGTTAATTAGCCAGGACACACAGTGCTGGTCATGCTGGGATCAAAGAACTTTTCCAGTAAGTGTTTCAGGGAAAAGTGACCACCACAAGAACAACATGAGGAGTTTTTCCTTTTAGCACCAATCTGACAGCTTTCTAAAATGCCTCCTCGCAAATTTTCTTGCTCCATTTAATGACCATGCTTCTGCCTTTCACCCATTCTCCCTTTTTCCCATGGTATTATTGTGTATGTGTGCGTGTTTTAGCTATTTGTGTCTTTAAGCACTTTGTAACAAGCAAGCCTCATAGAATGATGGAAAATATGCCTGGTGCTACCAGTAGAAATGAGACAGACATATTCTACTTTTCTCATCTGGTGTCTAAGTAAGAAATAAATCTAGAACAGCATAAGTGGTATTTGTAATTGTATGCAGAGGTTTCTTTGTGTGTGCGTGTGTGTGCGTGTGTGTGTGTGTTAACAAGAGACAGAGAGAGAGAGGAAGAGAGAGAAATTGTGGTATCCATGGCAGCAAGTGGGTTTCATTTCCTATTTGCCCTTTTTATTCAGTGCTACTCATCTACGTCCTTGCAAAGTCACATGCATTACTGAACACTTCAGTCACTGTCAGGCTGCTTGACACTATAATATTCAAGGGCTGAATGTACACATTTAGATTCAGCAGGTGTTCTCTTTAAGGACAATTCAGCAGGTGTTTTTCTGTCGTACGTCTTCTTACAATTACACCCAGTTATGAAAGAAGCCTTTCTAACCACTAGAACAACTGCTGCCATGGAGTGTCCTTGGCCCTGTCTCTCAACGCTCTGTATTTCTTCTTTCCCCTTACATCTTGGCAGATGGCTGCCCTTCTCTGAACCTAGTTCTTCCAGATGTCTCTTCCTATTAAAAGAGAGTTCTTCTTTTCCACTGTTCCCAAGTGCTTGCTCATAGGGAACCGTCAGGTTGCTGGAGTTTTCACTGTATTGTCGGGCCTTTACCTTAAAATATTAAGCCACTTGAGGTTGTGAACTGGTGCTAAAAAGTTGGTTTCTATCACCTCTGCTTAGGCATCAAATTCAGTTCGGAAAACTTAAAATCCAGTGCATGCCATCTTCTGTTCCTCTGAATACAGCAAAGTTTGTTATCTAGCACGCCCTAATAAATGAAATGAATATGCTATTATAGTTTAGTATTGTTGCTGCGACTGAGCAATGACAGCTACTCTATAGTGCTCATTATGCCGAGGCACAGAAGCAAGAATATTCATATCACTCCACACAAACATTCAGTCATTCTCTGTAATTCTCCCTTACAAACAGACACGTGCCATTTCTTCATGCACACAGTATCTGTGCCCAAGGCCTGTGTGATTATGACATTTGAATGGCAGGCCTGCCCTTTTCAGGTGGTGCGCACTGAGAGCTGCCCTTGTGAGAAGTCACAGTGCTTCCACTATAGATGACTAACACCGAAGATGAGACCCCTCTCTAACTCTGTGCCCTCCCACTGCCTTTCTCCCTTCTTCTTCAGCTCCTCTGCTTTCAGCCACTTCAACCCTGCTTCTTAGATCATTTTCTCTCTGTGGCTCCCCTTCCTGTGACACTCTGCCTGACTCAAGAAGTGATGTGGTCTCTTCCAAGAATTCTTCACAGAAATTCTTGGATACCCAGTCTGGGCACGTAGCATTCATTTTCAGTTGGTGGGCTGCTTTTATGTCTAAATGTGAATATTGAAATAGAATAAACATGA